CATTCAGCTGTTATGGCCATAGTCATAGCACAGAAGCTATGCGCTCTCGCTCTCTCTCTCTCTCTCTCTCTCTCACACACACACACACACATTCAAGTCATGTTTGGGCCTCCAAAAGTAGGGAAAACTCACTGTGTGAGAACTACCAAGACCTTCCCCTCTGACACCACTCAAAGGAGGCTGACCTGCTTAAGACTTTTACTGATAAAGCAGAGAGGTTTCCAAGGGGAAACCTTTATGTATGTGCTTGTAGATACACTGCTGTCCACACAAAACCTTAATTCTTGCTCACATGGGACACACAGAGATTCCCCATGCCCACCTACTCCCAGATGTTCAGAGGGACTGACATCATTTGAGAGATATTCATGAGGGTGGGGGCTCCTATTCTTTCAAAGTACAGGAGTTCCCCTTCGGGTGAACACCTGATAAAGCTAAACAGACGTCAGTGAACTACCTACAGTGATCAAAACAAGTTCCGGTGTATCTCCTCAGTGGGAGAGAGATGTCTTGCAACAAGAAGGTGAAGTAACTCTGTATCAGGCAAAGACCTCGTAATTGAATTGTGTTACATTCCAACTGGTTTTCTTGGACTGCAATGTAATTCTAGGAAAAATCTGTACTTTTTACATGCACTTAGTCTGAGACTTTGCTGTTAAATCTCCTTAAGCACCCAGCCTGACTTTTTTTTTTTAATAGAATGATCTAATAAAACAAACAGAAATCTATCCCTGCCAACACCAATTTGTCCATTGTTGGACAAATGGTAACAGTGTTATAAATGACTGAGGGCATTCTTTTAGTTTCAAATATGTCCAAACACTGGCAAAGGAGGAGTTTTTCTGGGTCCATTTTAGTAAGGGCCTTGATCTAATCCAAAGGCAGGGTCCCAACTCCTCCAAAAGGTTGGGGGGGGGACAAATGTCTCATCTCTTGTGCTGTCTGGTGATGACAAAGCCCCCGCCCCTGCACAGTTTTGATGTTTGTTTTTCTTGAGTTACACCGGCAGAACTCAATTATTTGTTTAACTTTTAATTTCTGAGAATGCCCCTGGCTTTAGCTCTCATTGCAGCCTCCAGAATGGAAAAGCCATCACTGATGCTACTAAGGAGCTCACAGAGATTTGGATGAGCACCAGGATGCCTGCAACATTTCTCAGCCGTTTGTGTGAAATTCCTGGTCCTAATAGGCCAGACTGATGGATCAACCAGAGTGAAGGAAGCTTTGCTTTCTTACCATCCACACAGGCAGGTTTTGCTTTTGTTGTTCCAGCGACTTGACCCCTTCGACAGGCACATCTTGCTGTCTGTCGGGCAATCATCCTTTTGGGATGGCTCATATCTCTATCCAGGGCTGTGATTTCACATGTCCCCACCTCCAGCTCCTTTCCTATAGGAAGACATTGGGATAGAAGGCAGATTTAATCCTGGCAAAAAAGCAGGAAAATGATGCAGCCTGTTTATCAGAAGAGGAAGCCAGGAGCCTGGACCCTAACCTTTAAGACAGCCCCTAGGGTGGCAACAGTTCTAGAGCCATTGTACTAATTTATACAGGTACCTCAGAAAAAGATGGCAGGCAATCAATTCAACTGAGTAGAAGAAGCCAGTTTTCTAATCTAACAGACGGGGGTCCAACAAAATCAGTTTTGCAGATGTGATGAGCAAGTACACTAATCAAATCTGCACAACTGTACCAACATCTTCTATGTAACTTCTACTAAGTGGTAACGTTGTGTACACCCATACAAACTCACAGAACACACGTGGGTGCACTCCACAAATGCAGCCCCTCCACATGTAACACATTGGTGTCCAGGTATGCCTACTGATAACTCTTCCAATATCAACAACAAAATTGCTATGCGATATTTCTTTTACTGGCTGGGAAGATATGAATATTTCTAAGGTGATGGGGCTTTGTACCATCCCACACTGAAAAAGATGAGCCCATTCAAACTTGACTTGCTGGCTAACCTAATAAACTCTCCAATCTAGCCAAACAAGGGGAAATTCCAAAGCCATTTACCTGCAATACAGTATTATTATTCATGCAGTTAAGCTTTATTTATTTATATACTAAGGTTCATGTCTTTGATCTTCCTTCACAAGGTCAAGGCAACATAGGTATTTCCTCCTCCAATTTTATCCTCATTAAAATAATCCTAGGTGATCGTTTCCATACAAGAATTAAAGCATTTCAGTCTTAGTCCAACACCCTAACCATTACATCACTTTTGACAAGAAAGAAAATACTGAACCACTTTTGCCTTCTCGTCTTAGAGCCATAGAGATGGAATTTTGAAGAACCATTAGTTTATCATTATTCTGCAACCCACAATCTGGTTGATAAAACGCTGATGAAACCCAACTGTAAAATTCAGCACTCATAAATCCAAGTTACAGTTTGCTTAACTACAACTTAACACAAAAACTAGAACAGGTAGCATTCACACAACACATTAGTTATGGTTTGCAAACTATGATAGTGGGATCACACAATATATTATACCAAAAACAAACACACTGCAACTTAGTGTGATATGTGAACCCGTTTAGCCCCTCACTTTTAGCCATAATGACCATATTTCTTTCTTGTTCTTCTCTTCTTTCTCCAGCTCAAGGAAGTCCATAGAACTGCGCAGCAGCAAAGCTTCCTTATGATAATCTTTTTCCATACAGATTTCCTGCTTGTATAACAGGTCAGCCAGGTATTGCTTCTATGCTACCTGTCGCCCTGGACCTGCCTTCCTGATTAAAAAAAGAAAAAAATCACATGGATTCCTTCAACAACCACACACGTTTTTGCTATGTGGCCTGCTATTAACTGCTGTTTCGACACAAACGCTGGGTTTCCAGTGAAGGTCCTTTCTGCAAAAGTTATACAACTCAATTACTCATCTGTTCTGGACTGTAACTTTTTTGGTGATTTGTCTAAATTCCTGTAATTTTTCAGCATGCTCTACTTCTTCTATTGTGGTGAATAATATACCTGAAATACATGTGTACTGTATATATACCCTACCCTTTTAAATAGGTTCAACCCCTTATCTGTTTCTTTGCTTCCCCTATTAGATGAACAGCAACAGTTTGTCATTTCCTCACTTCTTCTTCTTCAATGGCATTCATGTAATGAAAACATACGAGATCACTTCGATTTATATAGGGATATGTGGCAGCCTTTTCATATTTATTTGAATTGTAATATATACATTCAATCTCTGGCTTGCTCACTCTCCTAGAGAGAGTTGTTATCTGAATAAGTAGATCAGAGAGGCTAAGACATTTCCATTAGAACTACATTTGCTGGATGTGATTTACTGTGCTACATGTTCTTTTATAATTTTTCCTACATATGATGACTTAGGTCCTGATCCTCTCTGACTGTTCAGTGTTACTGACGTCATCAGGGAATATACTCATCATCTCTGGGCTCTCAGTAATTCATGCAACAAGCATCCAAACTCTGTAGCATCAGCACACTGAACTGCCTGCCTGGGTTATTCTTGGGAAGAAATTCCTGTAACCCAGCCTTACGAAAGAGGAGGGAAGGGAGGAATATGTGCTGGACCTCCATTGCATGTAATCATGCAAAGGACTCTGTGCTCAGTGTCTTTAGCCATCAGGCCCGAGTGCTGTCCTTGCAGAATCCTTGGAAATGTCTGATTTTGAAAGGCCCTATGTGAAGGTTAATCTCATTTGAGTGCTATCTACTAACTTTCGGACAATTTGAATATGGTGACTGCATACAAAGTTTTCTCTATATCTTTCTGTTGTTGTATCTTTAGCTAGGCACCCAGCCATTTAGGACAGGAGAGAGGAATCTTTTGGGGGCAAAGCAATGTGTTAGGGGCTACACAGGTAGGGGAATTGTCAATGGGGAGGACAGCAGTGAGTGGGGCTGAGAACTCCACCCTCATACTCATGCACTTCCTCTCATGTAAATCCTTTCCTGTGCTGTGAGCAACAGAGAAAGGCAATCCTCCTTGCAGTGCTGACTGGAGAGGTTTTAATTCTGCTCCTCATCCCATTCTCTACCTTCTAGTTGATAATTGCTTAGCTGGATTGTGGAGAAAAACAGGTGGGGCTGCTTCCTGGGGCTTTATAGTCCTTTCCAAGAGCCACTTTGACTTCTGTGTAGCTTGCCAATGTCAAGTTGCCAAATTATGATTTAACTTACGACTACCAGACCTCCTCTGAAGAGCCCTACTAGTAGGAATAGCAAGATGTTTCCCCTCCTCCAGAACGTTTAGATGGGACAGGAATGCTGAAGGAGATTTTATGTGTGCACAGTAGTTTTTCAATGTGGCAGCTTTCTAAGGAATGCAATAAAATGCCCAATTCATGGATCAAAGTTGTGAGTTTCCTAAATATCATTCAACAAATGACAAATATGCCCCTAACTCTTCATGACCTGCCCATGTTCTCAGGGCCTTAGGTATATATATATATATATATATATAGTCCAGCACAACTGAAAAGAGCTACTGTGGCTAGCACCTCCTCCTCAATGATGTCTAACAAGAAAGCACATCCAGGTGGCTAGTTTCTTCAACAAGAACAGTGTTGAAAACAAAGTTGGGAGAAAACTGCAAACACTCTAGCTCAGCGGTGGAGCATTCTATGCTCAATTCTTGCTCTGTCCAGGTTGGGCTGAAAAAAAGTTGCTATCCCAAGCCTTGAGGAACCATGGTCAGTCAGCACCAAAAACAGTGGGCTCTGTTTTCTATATTCCTAAAAATACTGAAGAGAAAAAGTATGAACTACTCTTCTCAGTTTTTTTTAAATAAACAAAATATTCCATCTAGCAGTTCATTTCTGGACTGTGTACCTCAGCTTAGTGTTTCTTCTAATACTATTTCCTGCAATGCCTGTGCAAATACTTCAAGGAACACCACTCAAGTTCACTAAAGGACATGCAACAGCAAACAGGACCTTAAGAAAAATGTCTGTGTGATTATACACTTCTGCCTACTTCTTGAAAAGAACTTTACCTATAAGTAGATACCATAGAAGGTATGTATCCTTTGAAGCAGTTCAGAAAAAAAAAGAGGGGAATGAGAGACAAATCAAAATGAACACAGAATGAAGAACTGAGACAAATGGAAAAATTTGAAAAATATTGATTAAAAAAGAGGTAAATGCTTCAATTACTTTAGTTGACTAAGCAAAGAGTAATCAAAGCATATTAAGAGATAGCTGCCTTCATGCACCAACTTTTAACTAATGACCGCCAGATCTGGGCTGTAAAAATCTGGATGACCTCTAGGTGGTGGCAAAGAGGTACCCTGAGCTGTAACTCTTTCCTGCCATCTAGACATCATCTGGATATTTGCAGCCAAGATACAGTAGCCCTAAACTGCATCATACAAACCCATCTAGAAAGATCTCCCACCACTTGTCCTTCAGAAATATTGGTCTATAATGTCTATCATCTCTATGCTATTTTTTTACGATGGGAGCTATAATATTGTTAAGAGTATCAGAGTGGAACAGGCTGACTTAAAGATTAACAGTTCTAAACCTGAGATGGGCTGAAGATTGATTAAAATCAAATCACTGGATAATTTGCAATAGTGCTTTTGACTTCCAATTATTTAATAAAAAGCAACCCCCCAAGACAGCCAGTTTGGTGTAGTGGTTAAAGCACTGGGCTAGAGACTGGGATACTGTGAGTTCTAGTCCTACCTTAGGTATGAAGCCAGCTGGGTAACTTTGGCCAGTCATTCTCTCTCAGCCCCAGGAAAGAGGTAATGGCAAATCACCTTCCGACATCCTGCCAAGAAAACTGCAGGGACTTGTCCAGGCAGTCCCCAGGAGTCAACACTGACTCGAAGGCACACCCACCCACAAAACCAAACCAAACCTGTCATTTCTAAATTAGGTTACAAGCATCCATGGTTATAGCCTCTCAGATGTTGATTTGTACATGGACATCATCCAAATGGGTGGCTCGTGGAGCCCAGAAGATACCAGGCTCTGCCTGCCTGCTGAACTATCATTTTGCAACTTCCTTGGCCTCACCAATATTATGCTCCTGGCTCTGGCTGGTCCATGCCCCAGGGCACCAGTAAAAAATAAAGCATATCCTACAAAACTGAATTCTTTCTCCTCTGCATCTGATCTCCAGAAGGCAGAGAATAGGAACAGACAAGACACTTCATGTGAGCACAACCTGTATAATTCCAAAGATAATTTGTTTCTCACTTAGAACAGACATTAACATTTTGCATGTCTGCAGTTCACATCTCGTACCTGCAGAGTCATAAAGTGGTCCCAAAAGAAGTTAGTAGTTTCAGTTGCAGAACTCCCCACAAATGCAGTAAGGGAGTAACAACATTGGTCCACTTTGCAAAGGCTAAAGAAGGGAGGGAAGTGTTCTTTTGACAAATAATATTTTCTGAATTCTGTAATTTTTCTGCTTTCTGCTGGGATTTGTTTTCCTGTAAGTGATCTCTCCCTTCCTCTACCATGCCTCTCTCTCCATTTCTCAAATTATCAGGGTAATCAACTGCTTCCAGTACTTGTGGATCTCTTTTACCTGCAGAATTTGGTGTTAACATGGCCTAATTCTCATCACATCAGCTCTGGAGCAGTCATGATACTTTTTAAACATCTTGACAAAAGCAGAGAATCAAATGTAGACTTGGACCCATATATATTTTACAGATTTAATTCAAATAATTCCCCTCTACGATAGCATAATTTCTACTTTTGCTTGATGTTCTTAACTTACACATTATTATATTACATTAACATGAAATTTCTGTGTAGTTTGTTATGTACAGCAAAAATACCAGGCTGAATTTATTTTTTGCATAGTACAAACTTTTGTACATTTCATACTTCACTAGAATCTGAAGTCAATGTACATTTCTGAGTGCAATTAAAGCAAAGTTAAGATTTTATAAAACACATCTGCCAGATTTCAAACTCTGACCTTACTCAAATTGATAAAAATGAGTGGTGACTGCCATAGTGGCTATAGCAAAGGTGA